GCACCCGCATGCCCAGTTCGGGGGCTCGCTGGGCGGCGTGGTGGGCTTTCCCTACCCGCTGGGCCATCACCACGTGTACGAGCTGGCCGGTCACCAGCTGCAGTCGGCAGCCGCCGCCGCCGCCGCCGCCTCGGTGCCCTTCTCCATCGACGGCCTGCTCAGCGGCTCGTGCGCCGCCGCCGCTGCCTCAGTGGTCAACCCCACACCGCTGCTACCTGCGGCCTGCGGGGTAGGCGGCGACAGTCAGCCCTTCAAGCTGTCAGGTAGGCGCGGCGGGCGGGGAGGAGTATGGTTTGGGGGGCAGGGATCCCTTCTTGGGCGGAGGAGTTGGGTTTCGGGCTGCTGCAGAACCTGCTGCGGCTGCGGAGGCACCGAAAGACTCCTGGGTTCCAACCCTCCACCCCCCTCGCATGAAGCGCGGCCCCCGGACCTGCTGCAGCCAGCGAGTAGTCTAAGGGGAGGTGGGTCTGGGCCAGGGCGGGTGACTGAGCCGCGCGGCGTCCTTTGCGTGCCCGCAGACTCGGGGGACCCAGATAAGGAGAGCCCGGGCTGCAAGCGGCGGCGTACGCGCACCAACTTCACGGGTTGGCAGTTGGAGGAGCTGGAAAAAGCGTTCAACGAGAGCCACTATCCCGACGTGTTCATGCGCGAGGCGCTGGCGCTGCGCCTGGACCTGGTCGAATCCCGAGTTCAGGTAAAGACCCGCGGTCTCTCCTGGGGGCCAGCTTCGTGCCACTAGGCCTGCCCGCCGCCAGTCCCCGCCTTTGTTCTGCGTGGCCAGTCCGTATCCTCAGGTACCCAGCCCGCTGGCCTTCGGGAAAGGGCGGCGGTGGAGTCGCCCTGGCGAAAGGTAGATGGTAATCGCGGGCGATTTGGGGGGCGGGTCGCTGTCCGGAAGTAGCGAGAACTGCAGCTGCGTCGGAACCGGGGAGTTGTGTGTGGTGGGCACCGGGCAAGCGCTCGAAACGAAGTCTCAGAGTCTCGGAGGTTGAGCTAGTAGGGCCATCAGGAGCCCGCTGGCTCTCACTCGGTGGAGAAAAGGAGCCAGCGGCGGGCCCGCGCCTGCGGCTGGGCGCGCCTAGCATGGAGCTCACGCGTTTGTTTGTTTACCTTTCGCCTCTAAAATATTCAGATGAAAATATGTATTTATTCATCGGTTTGCAGACCGGGTGGGGGGCAGCTGAGGAAGGAGAGGTGGAAACTTAAACAATTAACACATTTTGGGAAAAAAAGGTGTTTGAATTTTTAATACCTCCGGTTATGTTTTTCTTTTTCTCGTCATTTGAACTCACCCCGAAACTGCCGGCGGTCTTCCTCTTAAAAATACAGCGTCAATTTAATGCATTAAAATTTCAAGATGAATGGTGAATAATTAGCCGTGTCCCTGAAGTACAAACATCTTTTTCCGGGGGTCGGTGTGTTGAGTAGGGTGGCAATCCAGCCGCCAGCCACCGCCGTGGGTCGGGTCTTTGAGTCTGGGAGCCTGTGCAGCGGCGATGGCTTTGTCTAGGAAGGTGCTCCTCCTGTTCTGGGCTTCTCCCCATGACCTCTTCTGTTCGTAAATCCCTTTCCCAATTTGCTCTAAGTGTCTTAAGTGAAGTATGGACCTCTTCGTTTCTCCTTAATACAATGAGTAATTCTTGGTCACAAAGCAGTCTGGGATTTGCTCCGAAGAAGTATTTTTCAAAGAGAGGGGGTGTTGACTTGGGGAGGTTGTGGCTCAATCCTGGCACCTTGGCACGACAAGGCTTGCTGTAATCAGGTTAGGCTTGCTATTGTAGGGGGTCTCTAGATGGCTGCAACAAAGAATTCGAATGATCAGGACCTCTTCCGGAGGGAAGTGTGCCCGAAACAACAGCGATTTGACGCTGTGCATGGTGGAGCCAAGGGCTGAGGCTGCTGTTCCCGCAGTCCTGGAAGGCTCGCCAGGATAAGGTCTGCAGAGAAGGTGGAAGAGGCAGGGTGGGTCTAGGCCTCTTCTTTGAGGGCATGGCAGCTGGCTTCTTGCTGCCCCGCAGGAGTGGACCATGCCCAGCTGGTTTGGGAAGGCTTTGCTGGCTACCCTAGCTGGAGCCTCCAGAAGGAAAATGGGTGTGAATGTGTTGGGGGTGGGTAGGCTGATGAAGACCCTCAATTCAGCTTCCCAGGCCTTTCTAGAAGACGCATCCAGATTTCCCTTTATGGGAAACCCCAAAATCTGGATGTAACTCAGTCTCCAGGGGGAATGAAGACAGGTGTGGAGGGCACTGAGCCCAGCCGTGGTCGTCCAGCCAAACGGTCAGCTCCGGTCCAGGCAGGCTGCTTAGAACAAGAGCTGTGAGAAGCCAGGAAGGGCAAGGAGGGGCTCTGCTCTCTGCCTCCCAACCAAGAACCCTACACCCTCTGTCTGGGGTCAGATCAGCCCTACCCAAGGAAGGGGCAACTCCGAGTCCCCAAGGTGAGAACTGGGGAAAGCTGGCCAAAAGGCCCCATCTACACTCCTTTTGGGTGGAAATGATGCTTGCTGGAACCTGCAGCTAGAGTGCTGAAGCCCACCTCAGGGCTGGCTGGGCCTTGTGGCCTGGCTCCCCTCTGTCTTCAGGCCGATAGCCTGAGTTGTACAGGCCCATCTGGGGGGAGCGGGGAGGTCTATAGCCCCCCAGCGGCAAACCCGCTGCCTGATTATGCCTTCCTTTCCCCTATCCGGCTGCTCTAGGTCTGGTTCCAAAATCGCCGGGCCAAGTGGAGGAAGAAGGAGAACACTAAGAAGGGCCCTGGGCGGCCAGCGCACAATTCACATCCGACCACGTGCAGTGGTGAGCCAATGGACCCAGAGGAGATAGCGCGCAAGGAGCTAGAGAAGATGGAGAAGAAGAAGCGCAAGCACGAAAAGAAGCTTCTGAAAAGCCAGAGCCGCCACCTGCACTCGCCGGGCGGCCTGTCCCTGCACAGTGCACCCAGCTCCGACAGCGACAGTGGCGGAGGCGGCCTGTCTCCGGAGCCGCCCGAGCCTCCCCCAGCCGCCGCGGCAGGCAAGGGCACAAGCGGGCACACAGCCGGCGCTGCAGGTTCCACGCCCGCACCGCCGGGTGAGCCTCCCGCGCCCGGCACCTGCGACCCCGCCTTTTATCCGAGCCAAAGAAGCGGCTCGCAGCTTCGGCTCGGCCGCCCTGTGGACAAGGACGCGGCCCCGTGTGCGCCTGGGGCAGCAGCGGCAGAGCGCGGCGCCACGGGCCTACCCAAGGCGAGCCCCTTCAGCGTGGAGAGTCTGCTCTCCGACTCGCCGCCGCGCCGGAAAGCGGCCCCCGCCAACGCCACGGCCGCCGCGGGGCTGGACTTCGCACCGGGTCTGCCGTGTGCGCCGCGGACCCTCATAGGCAAGGGCCATTTCCTGCTCTACCCCATCACTCAGCCGCTGGGCTTCCTGGTGCCACAGGCCGCGCTCAAGGGCGGTGCAGGTCCGGAGCCGGTGCCCAAGGACGCGCCCCCCGCGCCAGCCGCGCCGCCCGCTCCTCCCGCTCAGGCTAGCTTCGGGGCTTTCCCGGGGCCCAGCGGTGCTCCGGACTCGGCCTTCGCGCGCCGCAGCCCAGACGCCGTCGCCTCCCCGGGGGCTCCAGCCCCCACGCCTTTCCGAGACCCAGCCACGGCCGCGAACGAGGGCGGAGGTGGTGACTGCGCGGACGCAGGTGCCGCCTGCCCAGCGGTCCCGCCACCCCCACAGCTCGCGCCGTCGCCTGGGCCGGCTCCGCGGGCGCCCAGCCCGGCTGGGGAGCCGACCATCTGCGGGGCCCCTGAACCAGGCACCGCGGCCGGACCCAGCGTGCCGGATGGCGAGGAAGTGGACATGGACTGAGGGTGGCTGCGCGGTGGCGGCGGAGAGAGGCGCTCTGGGCCCGCGCCCGCTCTCTCAGGCTCCGACTCACACGACGAAATCAGGTGATCGGCTTAGAAACACTGCTTTTTTCTCTTTCTTATTTTTTCCTTTTTCTTTCTTTTTCTTTTCTTTTCTTTTCTTGTCTTTCTTTCTTTCTTTTTTTTTTTTTAAGAAAAACGCTGTATCAATTCGGACCTAGGCAGCAACCGCAGGACTTGGGGTGAGACCCTCTCCTCTCAAGGGAGAAAACAAAACCTATACCCCCAACAAAAACCCACAACAAGAATCCTCAGCCTTGTAAAATGCAAAAATGTCTAAGAATATTTATATATGTACCATTTTTGATAAATAAAGCTGGTCAAACGCAAGCTCTGGGGTCCATCTTTTTAAATTTCCGAGCGCCCAGTCTGGCCCCTCCTTCCCACTTCTTTTCCCATTCGGGTCTGGGCGGGTGGGACTGGGACGAGACTCCGCACCTCCCCCGAGGTCCGCGCTTAATGCCTCCTTTTGTGTGCGTGTGTGTTTGTGTTTTCTGATTGAACAAATTTATGCATCCTCAACTCCCCCTCTCTGCCCTCCCCCGCGCCCCCCCTTAGCCGGCGCCACACACACGCGCACACACTCGCACACATACCTACCCCTGCGCGCCCCCGCGCGCACCCCCGCGCATTGGCACACGCCGGGGCGCGCGGCGCGGGGTGACGGAGCCGGGGGCTGCAAGGGCCGGGCCGCTGGGCTCCTGCAGAGTTTTGATATGAAAGTAATTATTTTCCGGTGGCTGCTGCGGGGACTGGGTTTCTTGCCCAAAGGGTTATTATACATTACCGATTTCTAGTGATATGAAATCACATAAACTTCCTACAATAATAGAATTAGCATGAAAGGCTGGGGTGTCAAATTGAAATTGGAGAATAATAGCGCCGGCAGCTGGGGGAGTGCGTGCGCATATTGGAGCGGAGATGGGGAATCGTGGGGCGGAATTTTCATGAGCTGCACTCTTTGTCAGCGCTCTTGTAGCCGGCTATATTAAGATAGATGCCCAATGATATCCCTCATTGTTCTGTCGCTTATATTGATGTTGCTGCGTTATCAGCCTATTGATCATGTGTCGCCTGTAATAGGACAGGCGCCGCCAACGCGCCTCTTT